GCATTTTTCTTGGTGTTTTGGATAAAAATTCAAGAGTCAGCTTATCTAGGGATAGGTTTATGTGAGAGTATCTATACCGTTATCCAAGCACTTCTTTGGCTTGAGTTATTGACTCTAGTACATATTGTTTTAAATACTTAAATGTTGTGTTTTTGTGTTGTTACTTCATAGGGTGATGGTCGTTCTTATAGCTATGTATGTGGAATCTCCAGTAAAGGTGCTCCGCCTTGGGAGTCCCTTATGTTCCTAGCCAGACTCATACCACGGATGTGTCACAATATAAATCGGTAATATGCCCATTGATACATAGATCTTTATTACTTCATAATTTAGCTGCTGGTTAGTAACTCACAATGTGTCATTGGGGAAAAATTATATGTAAGAAGCAGAAGAAAACACCAGAAAACTTCTTTACTTTTTCTATATGCCTTTTAAAATACTGATAAAGGAAGTGTTGAAAGCCTAGCTCCACAACTCAATCCACATTTTTTTGTATGTGCTAATTTGACAAGTCTTGTTGATGCTTTATTGCATTATTGCAATTTTATGTTTTATAGGTATAGGTCATGTAATTGTTAGTAATGGAGGGGTGTTATTTTTATATTTTACAATATAAATGTCTTATTTCTGGTATGCAAAAGACTAAGCAAGACTAATCCTGTGAATTGGAGTCGTGATTGTTTTTTTAGGAGAAGCTTTAAAGTGAGACAAGAAAGAAGCATAAATTACTTCCTTTCTGAAAGCAAGTCTGTAATTTCAAAGTAATACAAAAATACATGGGCTTTTATTGAAAACATGTCTCTTTGATTTACTGGTACTCAGACTTTGAACTACATGTAATCATAATCAAAGATACGATAACTTTAGATACATTGTTTGAGCAAAGATACATTTAGGCAATATAATGTCATCAGGTATCACTATTTCCCTAGACACTTTATTTAGCATGTTATGCTCAATAGGTTCCCTGTTCCCTCTGACTTTTAAAGATTAAAATGTGTTCAAGCACTCACATGCTGTCTATCAGTCTGGCATACTTTAAAGCAAATCACCAACTTTGGGCCATCATATTTATTTGTAGGGGTCTTTGGCCCTGAAGGCACGGTGGCCTAGGCTTGTTGACCTGAAGGTCAGCAGTTTGAGATCCAAGCACCACATGACTGTGTGAGCTCTAGTTCTTGACCCAGTTCCTTCCAGTCTAGCAGCTCCAAAGCATGCAAATGCAAGTAGATAAATAGACACCATTTTGGTGGGAAGATGCCTTGGTGTATAGTCATGCTGGCCACATGACCACAGAAGCATCTTCAGATAATGCTGGCTCCCTTGGCTAGAAAATGAAGATGAGCACCACCCCGGACACAACTGGACAATGGAAACTTTTGCCTTTCTAAAAATAACTTTGGAACACAAAGATTCACAAATCTATGAACAGGCAGATTTCCCAAATCATTTTGAGATTGTATCTCGCACATACTGAGAAAAATCCCAAGGTACCTCCCACCCCCAAAAGGTTGCCTACCTCCAGCAAACAGAGCACTTCGTCTAATAGATTGTCTCTCCCTCTCCTTAGGGTTGTCTATGTGTTTGGGCCACCAGTCAAAGAACCTCCCACTGATGTTACTCCCACTTTCTTGACGACGGGAGTTCTCAGCACATTGCGGCAGGCTGATTTTGAGGCTCATAACATTCTCAGGGAATCTGGTTAGTGTGATAGCTTTCTTTTGTGTGGTGCTTTGCATTTACAACATATGTCCCAACAAATATTTTCTGAAAGCTTAGTAGACTAGAGAGTCTAACTCCTTCTTTACTGAAACAGACAATAATAAAGAAGTTGATACTTGTTTTTCAGGATCCCTGTGCAAAACAAAAGTAGGTATTCCATTAGTCCTCCCTTAAGTTTGCTTTCTATGTTGACCCCATTATCTCCACATAATAATACATTTTTTCTATAAGCCTATATAAATAAAATATTTGTTGAATCAAGCCCAACTCTTGGTGACTTCTTAGACAGATGCAATGCGGTGTTCACGGCCAGAATTTTTGCCATTATCTTCTAGGCATTTAATTGCATGTCATTTCTCAATTCTAGCCTACAAACCTGGGATTTTCTGGTGGGTTCATGTCCAAGTACCAGTTAGTTCCAGATCTAATTGTCCTTCTAGCCAATGCATACTTTCTTGATTTTTCTTCCTTTATTCAAGGTTATTCTGGAAAAATCAGCCAGATGCCAATCATCTTAACACCATTGCATTTTGACCGAGATCCCCTGCAAAAACAGCCATCCTGTCAAAGATCAGTGGTTATTCGAACTTTCATTACAAGTGATTTCATGACTGGCATTGCAGCGACTCCTGGCAATGAGATACCAGAAGAGGTAAATGCCATTTAGAAAATTAAAGTTGCCTTTGATTTCTTTGCCAAAATAGAAAGTAACATTCCTTTGTTTTTAAATGTATACCAATACTTACTTTTTTTTTTATTCATTCAGTTAATATAGTCATACATCTCAAACTAGTGGCTATGGGTGGCAAGCAATCATAAAACAGATAAGTTAAAACATAATACAGAAAGAATAAATACACATAACCAGAAAATGGGACCCTTCACACATTAGAGTCCCCTAATGCCTAGGCACATACCCAGGTCTTCAAGGCCTTCCCAAAGGCCATCAGGATCTGGGCCATCCTAATCTCTGGAGGGTGAATGTTCCTGAGGTCAGGCCCTATGGCAGAGAAGGCATGTCCCTTAGTCTCCTCTAGCTGACATTCCTTGGATGATGTGACTTAAGAGTGTGCCTGCTGGACAAAGTGGAAGGGTAGAAACAAGTGATAGAAGACTGACCCTCAGGTAGCTTGGTCCCAAGCCATGAAGGGCTTTAAAGGTGTCAACCAGCACCTTGAATTGCTGCTAGAAAAAGACTGGTAACCAGTGCAGCCCTGAAGCAATGTTGCTATCTGTGCTGACACCTTTTACCACCCATGCTGCTTCATTCTATACCAAATGCTCTTCAAAGGCAGCTCCATTGCAGAACTCCAAATGGAAGGTTATGAGAGCATGAATTACAGTCAGCAGAGCTCCTTGTCCTGGAATGGGTGCTACTGATGTACAAGTCAAAGGTGCGCAAAGGCCCTTTTAGCCACAGCTACCATCTGCAAAGAATGAAACACAAATCTCACAGGAAAGAAAGACCAAAGTTAGATGCCGGTTTTTCCTCTGCAAGTCATTTGCCCTTTTGCAGATTAATACATTATAAAAGGAAAAACTTGGACATCTTCCATCCTGTTCTGGAAGATGAAGCAGAACATTTGAATTAATTGATTCCATACTAATCGGCCATCCTATTGGTCTCCCTCTTCTCTCTCACATCCCTTTTTCCAGCTGGGGACATGCTGTCATTAATGTCCTTTGACATCTCTTTCTTGCTGGCTGTTTAAACATAGGTTGTGTTGAAGATGGTGACCGAGATTAAGAAGATTCCTGGCATCTCCCGGGTGATGTATGACTTGACTTCGAAACCCCCAGGAACAACTGAATGGGAGTAATTACTTCCCTCCCCTTTGAAAGTACTGTATGCAGTTTTAAATTATATCAGAAACCATTCCCAGTGTTGACATGCAGTACTGTGAAAAGAGTGACTGGAGCGGCTGCTACATCTTATGTGATTACTGTATTCTCTCCTGGAACATAATCTGCAAATTAAGAGTGCTGATGAGGGTGGGGGAAGTCAGCTCAATGGGGCTGAGGACATGTACGGGTAAATAATTTACGGCAGCATTGCCTACGTGCAGATAGAATCATATTGCTTTGCCTTTTTTGTCTTACAGCCTCTTCCTGTTTTTGTGTATTTTACTGTTAAATGTCATTTCAATGTCTCTTTTTTTTGTATACTGTGTAAAAAGAGACGATTTATTTACATTCACCAACACTATTGTTAGAGCTATTAATAATGTAAAATGAAAAAAGTGACCAACTGCTTTTGAAACAGATTTATTATAAATAAATATTTTGCCAAATGGAGTAGTGAGTATTGTTGAATTGTAGATTAATGTATATTTATTTTCTGTAAATTGTAGTACCTGTTCCATATCATTTGGCATTTTAAGGTCATGGCAATAAGTGTTGATGTATTCAAGAAATATATCCAAATAAGAACTATATTCTACCCCACCCCACCCTCCCCATTCCCCACTTTTTTCAAAACAAATAACTTTTTAAGGATGTTAAATCATATGTCTTCCCACACTACGTAGTTACTGTCAATATTTAATATACATTAAATCAGCTAATCGACTACAAGAGAAACAAATATGAATTATCTATAAAAATTGAAAACGTACTGCTTGGGGGAAAGCAGAGTGACACTTTTCACAGCAGCTATCAAAATTGCTGGGTTATGCTCTTGTTTTCTTTTTTTACACCTTTAAGTCAAATTTTTTGGCTTTCTGTTTTATGTGAGACTTCCTATTAAAAGCAGGGAAATGTTGCATTTCAAATACTTTTACCAAGCTATGTTTAAATATTAGTTTGATTTCTATATGATTCATATTTAGAAGCATCTTGGTAAACTTGAGAATGAATGAGTTGTTTTATTAACACCATTTGAGGATGGTTACCACTAAGTTAAAAAGGTGAATATAGTTTACATCCAGTATATTGAACCTGAATCAAAATAAAACTGTTTCTTTAGTGTTTTGATTGGGAAACTAGAACAGAAGAAATATCAAGGGAGTTGACTCTTCTACACGTCGTGCCATAGCTTTTGTGACTCATTCTGGATACCTCCCAGTGCATTGCATATCGATACAAACTATGAGATGTTGCCTAAAACAATGCAGAAGAAAGTAATATTAAAAGAATGTTGCTGGCCACACACTTGCAATGACCTATTGATTTATTCTACTGGATTTAAAGGACTTGGATAAATTGCAGACTTCCCTTGCTGTACCAGCTACTTTATTGTGCCACATAATTATTTACAATTTCTTCAAGGTTATTCTCATGGAGATCTTGTAGTGACAGTACAAAGAGTAGCAGTAGTGTTCATAATGTCCAATCTTAACTACAATCCATGATTTGCATCCAAATTATTCTCTAGGAAAAGTTCGGAGTAAATGTCATGTGTAGAATCTTTGGAGTAGTAACAACTTCATTCCCTATCTTGGGTGGGGAATAGAAATTCAGAAATGATTGAGGGAATACTTCCTAGTCATTCGAGTTCAAGGGATGTTTACAGATCTTTGTGTGTCTTTATATTTGGGGCTTGGACAGCAAAATTTTGGCTGATTTCAATGTTTGTTTTAAGCTGGCTTAAAATTCAGACTTATAATTAAAGTATAGCTTGGGGGAAAAAAAGCTTAGTCACAGTCAGGTGAGTCAGAATTTTAATGTAAATAATTAAGTTTGCAGTTGGAGTTAAAATATTTTTGTTTTCATATTCATTTACTACAGACATGTACACTGTCAAATTCTGTGGGTTTTAGATTAGTAAATTTATTAAGTTTTGTTTTGTTAAGATAACAATGGATTTATTTTTAAGCTGGATACATGAATAAAATGGAGTTTGGAAACATTTGTAAGGAATATTACACTAGAGAAAAAATAAACGCGTATAAACGTGCATAAGTAAATTTTTTAAATGAAGACATCAGTGTTGCATAGAAAAGAGACCCTGTGCATAACTAGTATAATACTGAAAATTATTCCTTTCTCTTAAGCCCATACTGGGATTCAGTTTATGTTGGCAATGGAATGTGGAGTACTCTTAAATGGCCAGGCTTCCAATTCTTGAATGTATTTCACAGTATTGATTCCCATAATCAAAACCAGCTGCAGAAAGCAGGCTGGTGGTCCAGGAGGGAATGGGTAACCTGTAGCTTATGAATGCAGATGCCCTTGGTAGATTTGTTTGCCCTCTGATCTTCAGTAAGACACGTCAACTGTTTTCAAAGACAATTGTGTAGAGAATTATTCCTAAAACACTCAGTTAAAAAAATCTGTAAATGAGAAAAGTACTGTCAGCCTTAATTTTTATCCTCAAATAAAAGTGAACCCATTTGGATACTTCTGTGGTTTATTTTCTGTCATCATTCTTTATGATGCATTCTTTATTCCTTGTGTTCTTTCATTCTAAACCAGATTTTGGACACACTGGTAGAAGTTTTGAAAGTCATGGTTTGAACTTATTTGAAAAGAAGGACTCATCTGAATAAGGTACTCATTAGTCTAGACATTAGTCTAGCTTGTAAGGCTTTCCTGTTCAATCCGTGGGTGTCTGAATGGGTTCAGTCTTCTCAAAATGTATCTGTTTGTTTCATGCCTCATTCTCATTTGAGAAGGCAACACAAAATGGGGAGATGTTGGTCCTGCTGGTAAGATCAGTATAGTCAAAGGGGATAAGTTTTTGAATATTAAAATGCTGGAATATCTTAAGTGAAGCCCAAGTATATCAATGTGCAATGTGATTTAGTAAGGACTGGTGCACTGTTACAGTTGGGCTGGAAATCCAAGTAGTCATCCATATTGCTTGAGCAGATTTGCCATGGAATTACTATGACATGGTAGTTTATCTCATTTTATTTATTGAATCTATCAAAACAAAAAACCTACCACTGCATGGATATAGTAGAAAAACAAACTGAGGAATTAACAAATTACAAATATATTGGGAAATAATTGTGTTTCTAGGCTTAATGGGCTGTGAGAATAATTGAGGGACAGGAGGAAGAGTTGAGATCTACACAACAGTCTGATTAGAAAAACCCGAGTCCAAACAAGAAAAAGCTCTCAGAAGGAACCGTCCCTAGTTCTCTGGAAAGTAAAGGCAGGGGATAGGAAGTGCTTTCAGTTTTCAAAGATTATTGTCAACCCTTTGAGGTAGTCCAGATGCAGGAAACCAAAATCATAAATATTAGTACCATTTTTCTTACAAGGGTGAAGCAACAGAATCTAGCATTGGGTTTATTCAAAAACCACTGTTAAATAAATGCAGCATGAACTCAGATAATAAGCTCTAAGTATAAACTTCCAGTACAGGTAATCCTCAATTTATAAACACAATTCAGCCCAAAATTTCTATTGCTGAGTAATATATTTGTAAAGTGAATTTTTGCCCCATTTTGTGACTTAAACTTGTCACAGTTAAGTGAATCACTGCAATTGTTAAATTAGTAACACAGTTGTTAAGTGAATCTGGTTTCCCCATTGACTTTGTTTGTCAGAAGGTTATGAAAGGTGATTACATGACCCCAGAACATTGCAACCCTCATAAATATGAGTCAGTTGCCAAGCATCTGAATTTTGATCACATGACCAGGGGGATGCTGCAATAGTCATAAGTGAAAAACTCACAAGTCACTTTTTTCAATGCTTTTGTAACTTTGAACAGTCACTAAATGAACTGTAAATCAAGGACTAGTTTAGTGGTTAAGGTACCAGGCTAGAAACAGGAATTGTGAGTCTAGTTTCACCTTATGCATGAAAACTGGCTGTGTGACCTTAAGTCAGTCTCTGTCAAGCCAACTCACCTCAGAGGGATGTTGTGAGGGAAATGGAAGAAGAAAGGAGCATTAGATATGTTTATCGCCTTGAGTTATTTATAAAACTAAGGCGAGATAAATAAATTGCTTGAGTATGTCACACGGATTATGCTAATAATGCCAAAGAATTCAGTGACCACCATATCAGTTCTGGATGACATATTTGATTCTCCACCCAAAAATACTATTAAAAACACAAGCTTCTTGCACATAAAGTCACAGAATAATGTCTGGTAAGAAAGTCCTGTTGCCATGAGGGAAAGCCTATCATAAATTGCACAATACTTAAATGTATACCATGAAGAAACAGGGTTAACCTTTCTTCGGGTTCATTTCAAAAATAAATAAACCGGGACATTGAATTGAGATGTTAGGTGTTAGAAGTGAATTGCTGATCTAGAGCATTAAATATCTTAGAGTAGTTTTTAAAGTCATTCTGAATTTCACATAAATTGTTTTGGTTTTTGGTTTGATTAATGAACCTCATCTTTGAAACAGTCACTCTTCTGCTCTTAAATCACTTCCAAATTCATTCTATATAACTTTTTATAGATCGGTTTCATTAATTCAGTCCACAGTGTGGTGAAGAATCCAAGTCTTCGCTAGGCTAATGCAGATAAAAGGCTGCAATTTTGTGCCTCTTTGGGGTGCTATTATCTCTGCCTGAAGCAAACATAGGAAATAAAAGTTTGATCAACTACGCTGTTTCTTTTTCTTTGTTTTTCTGTATAACTTGGGCTGCTATTTGGGACCAGCTACTGGAAGAAGAAACTATGTGCTGAATTTAAAGTCGTAAGACCCTAATTCTAATTCTGTTAATGCTTTATAAGAATTCAGAATCAGCAACATTCTCTTTTGTAGAAATGGAACAAATAAAATTAATAATGCATTTTGAAGAATTAAAGCTAAGTAGCATGCATGGTACTTTTCAACAAACAATCATTATCACGTTGAATAAAGAACTCAAGTCCTTCCCCAACAGATTACAACCTTTAAAAATAAGGGGGAAGAAACCACAACTGTTCAGATGTTGGAGAGAATACCAGGACATCCATCACAATGGCAAGGGAAGAATGTAGGTGGTATACCAGTTGAGGCTTGGAAAATGCTAAAAAGAACTATTGTACTCTTCACAGAGTCGCTTTTTATGATATAGGTGGCTATATAAATTCAATTAATAAATACAAAGATACCTGGATCCCTTTCTCCACCTGAATATAAAAAAAAACTATAAGTGTTTGGAGACATCTGGGGGAATGTCAAAAAAATCAAGATGGCAGCCCATTTGAGTGCTTAATGCCTTGCCCTCTTGACATGCATTATATCTAAAAACTAAAAAGGACCAGATTTTTAATTAGTCACTTTCTTGCCTGTGATACTCATGTAGATGCCCTTGGCTATGTTCAGAATATATGCATAACTGTGTCCTTAAATGTGCAATGGTGCTTTTTGTTTTTAATAGGATCATCCCCTACTTCAC